GCCCCTTGCAAAGGGTGAGGACCTCAGCTGCTGATACCCATCTCTGTGGGAAACTTCGGAGCTGCCCACCATATGCTGTGGTGTTTGCAGGAGCCTACCCTCATGAGCTTCTCCAGGCCTTCCTTTACAATCCCTATGGCTTGGTTGTCATCCTCTGGTGTAGTTCCCTTGTTGGGGTGGTCCTGCAAGGAGAGGGTTGCTGGGATAATGCAAGTCATGTTGTGGGTCTTAATGAAGGAGGGGATCTGGGGATTTCCCATCCTGAACGCAGCCTGCTCCAGCACTGCCAAGGAGTCCCGACCTGCATAGCCTCTGTTGAGGAGCCTGGCTGCTCTCCCGTGGCCTTGCCATCAGCACAGCACTCCACTGGTCCCTCCACAGTGCGGGCTGGCAGGAGCCCCAGCAGTTTGCTTTCAATGCCTGCATTTTGCTTACTGAGCAACGGGATGTCCCACGCACCTGGCAGACTTGGCTTATACTTCAGAATTTAATTTTAATTTTATTAAGTGAATTCAGGTCTGGCAAAAGTTGCCAGAGCCCATTAGCTGTGGAGCGTGTCTTTCTTCCAAAGCATACAGCCTGGACAGTAGCCATGCCACTCACCTTTTTTTTTAATTATTATTTTTGCATGGATTAAATGCATCAGTTTGAAAGGACACATTTATGTAGAAGCTTGACCCTCTACTGTGTACAAAACAGGCCTGATTTTATATAGAAATCCAGTGCTTGGCATGTATGCTGAGGCAAACCATTTGCCCATCAGTGGGCCCAGTGATTATCTGCTAGATACCAGTGAATCAAAAGAGAAAAAGCCTGACAGAACAGTTACAAAGATATTAAAGTCATTTTGCCTCTTCAGATAACTCTAAGAAGTCCCGGTTTCCCTGGTACACTGTTGCCCACCACGTGGACTGGTGCTGTGCATGAACAAGGCAGCGCTGTACTGAAGTAGCCCCCTTCGTTTCTCTGGCCCTCCTTGGGGAGGGATGAATGAGAGGACAAAATCTATTCCTCTGAGAGACCTCACAGGGCAAGGGAGAGGTTTTGAGATCAGGGTAAACCTGGATTTCTGCTCCTAAGTTCATTTGTCACAGAAGAACCAGAGCAAGCTGGAGCCTGACACCCCTGTTCACATTGCAGTTCCCCTCCAGGTTGAGCTGCAACGGCTCACAGAGTATTGATAGTATCCGGCGCGAGTAAGGGGCTAGCAACTTCTGAGTGGTGGGTGATGTTGGTGGTATCAGCCTAGCGGGTAGCATGTGTGTGAAAGCTGGAGAGACGGGGAGGGGATGACGAGGTGTGGAAGGATTGACTGTATTTTCATTGCTTCGAGACTTTGCCCTTTCCAAGAAAAATAATCTGCAGCTTGAATATTTCTCTTTGCTGGAGGGGGTGGACATGTGTGCAAACGAGGTGTGAATTTTTATGAGAAGGTGTGAAAGTGCGTACATGAGTGAAGTGTGAATTACACGTCTATTTGTACGTTGATGTCAACAAGTCCGTGAATTTCTTCCTTCCACGTGAATGTCTCTCTTTCTCTCTCTTTCCCCCCCAAACCCACATAGACACGTGTGTGGGCAAATATGCCTTGCTGAGAGAAGAGATTTGTGCAAGAACGTAGGTTTGTAAATGTTTGTGTGTTGAGCAAGCTCTCCTGTGGAACAAAACCAGATGTTTTTTGGTATTCTCAGTTCTTCTGTGGCAGTGTTGTGATTTTTCCCCTCATATTTTTCAAGATACTTACAGGATTATTTTAAGAAAAAAGGGAATGCTGCAGAGATGCCTTTGGGTGTGTGAGAAGAAAGTTATTTTGAAGAATGAATGTGTTAGAGGGCATTAAAAATATGGGGGAATCTGAGACAGTGCTTTTTCATGGCGAAGGAAGCCTCACTCCCCCACGAAGGGCCCTCCTGTTGCCCTTGTTCCCGCACAGGGCACGTGCATTTTTCTGCAGGCAGCATGCAGGCAGCGTGCAGGCAGCAGGTTGTTTATTCAGAGTGTTTTTTTCCAGGAAGCATTGCCGCAGAGGGGTCTTGCCTCGCTCCTTGCATTGGCTCCGGCAAGAGGGCAGTTTGAAGGCGGGCTGGGATGTCCCCACTGAGAGCGGGCAGACTTGCGACAGCCTGGTAGGGGACACCCCTGGGGCCTGGCAGACCCCGTGGCAGAGGGACAGAGCCAGACCCACAGCGTGGGGTTGAGCCCACATGAGTCTGCACTGCTTTGCTTCCCCCAGGTGGTCCCAGGGCTTTGCAGCAAATGCTGCTGTAAGAGGGACAAAGACAACCCTCAGGGCAATGGGGAGCACTGCAGAGTCCCTCAGCTTGCAGAGCCCATGGGGTGCGAGACGTGTGGTTGCTCTCCTACACCGAGATGTTCCTCCTGTGCCTCAGCTCCCTCAGGGTATGGGATATGCCTCAGGCTCAATCCCAAGGTGTGCATATCTGGGCCCCGGGAAAGCCCACCCGCACCCTCCAGCAGGACCGAAGCCCTGGGGACAGCACTGCAGCAGGGATAACTACGAGGATTTGCATCCCATGTTGTACACCGTTGCTTATTGGCAGGGAGGGGAGAGCCTTTCTGCAACGTGGGACCAGGGTCACCCTATATTCTTGCCACCCTCCCTGTGGAGGAGCTTAGGGTTTTGCTGGAGTTTGCCCATTTTGCTGGGGTTTTTTTGCCCATTTTGCCGGACATGAGGAGGCAATTGCTGTCTTCCAGGGGCAGCTGTGGCAGCCCATGGGGCCATGGTGCTGGGACAGGGCAGTGGCAGGGAAGAGTGGGCAGAGAGAGGCATGCAATAAGGGCCCCGTGGAGAAAGGGACTTTGTTGGGATTTGTAGTGTGTTATCAATTGACCCTGTGATGCAGATTTTCCTCCCAGCAAGTAATGCAATAATAAATTTGATTTGCAGCGTTCATGAGATTAAATGTTTTTTTGAAGATGAAATCACCCTCCAGGGCCTGTTCTAACCCAAAGCTGAGAGTGCTTCCTCCGCTCACCACGCAGCTGTTGCCAGCCATTTGTGGGCTAGCCCCACAAAACCACCACTGCTGATTATCCATGTCTGCAATTCCAACAGCTGGGTTAGCTTGAAAGGTTTCAGGGACAGGAGGTCAATCTGCCAAGATGGGGTGGTGGGGGCAGGCGGGTTGGGGAAGGGAGAGCACAGCAAGCAGAGAAGGGCTGTCGTGGGGCCGTGGGCTGGGGCCAGGAGGACTGGACGCTGCCCTCAGCTCTGCCGAGGCCACAAGGGTGGGCCTGGGTTTGCCATCAGCCCCGCAGTGCCTCAGTTTCCTTCCTTGGGAACGGCAAAGCTTTCTGCACTCCTGCAGCTGTATCGAGGGTCGTATATGTCCAAATTTTGGTGTCTCCCAAGGCATCTGTGGGAGACTGCCACAGCGCAGCTTGCAAAGAAGGTAAAAAAAAGAAAAGGGATAAAATGAGGCAGCTCCAGATGATCTGATATCAATCTGTCTCTTACTTTATGGCTCTGTAATGGGCTCGGCAAGAGCATTTATTTCTCTTTTCTGGTCTGTATGAAATGTGGTATGTAAGTGTGGCAGGAGGTGGAGGGGAAAAGGAGTAGGTTTGTTGTAGAACAATTGCCCTTGCCCAGAGATTAATATGAAATACTGGAGTACCAAGCGGATGTCAATGGCCTGAACAATGGCCTCTATCAGACCACCCCTAGCAGTGGCCCAGAGGGACTGGCTGTGCGCGGCCGATGCCCAGAACCCATTTCAATGCCTTGTTCTCTTGTGTCTCTGCAGCTCAGCCGTGCGGGGGCCGCCTGAACTCCAAGGATGCCGGCTACATCACCTCCCCGGGGTACCCCAATGACTACCCCTCCCACCAGAACTGCGAGTGGGTCATCTACGCCCCTGAATCCAACCAGAAGATTATCCTTAACTTCAACCCTCATTTTGAAATCGAAAAGCACGACTGCAAGTAAGAGCCTTCCTCTTCCTCTTTAGTACATAGTCGCCTCTTCTTGCCTAGCAGCATGGGCCTCATACTTGAAAACAAGCATTGTCCTGAGTCCTCGTAGCACTGCACCTCATTGCCTTTTGGGGCAAGTGTGCCTCTACCAACTGGGTGGTTATAAAATGCTGCTTTGGACACACAGGATGAGCCTACCTGCATTGAACTGGTGGTTCTTAACTCAGCCTGATACCACCTGAAAGCGAGAGCTAACTGGCTTTCAACCTGAGTTTGACTTTAGTTCAAAGGCAGCTTGTTTTTCTCGGTGTCAAAGTGGCCTCACTGTCCTTTTAAACCATGCTGGGAAAGCAGAGCAATTTCCTGGTGTGTGAGTCGGCCCAGGTATGGCACAGAGCACCCTAGGGCTGGAGACCCAGGGTCAGGCCATGTGAGGCTGGGGGGCTTGGGGGTCCAAGCTGTTTGGGCTGGATCTGACTCTCCACAGTGCTTATTCTGTTGCATTTGGAAAACTGGGGGTTTGTTTTTATCTGCTTTTTTAATTCTTTGCTTCTGAGAAGGTACTTGGAAACTAGATGTCCGGGAAAAACAATTAACAGCTAGTAAAGAATAATTAACGGCATCAAAGGGCACCATAAAAGGCTGAGTTAATAACATGGTCTCAGCAGACATATAAACCTGTGTGTTTAATCTGGAATCCACAGCCAGCTACAAGGATGCCTGAGCTGTGAAGGAGCTTGGGGTCTCCTAAAACGGGCCTGACACAGCAGTCTTGCCAGACACACTGGTCCTGTTGATTAAAAGAGGGTTATATATGGAGAGGGGAACTCTGTTTGCAAAAAGGACAGGGGGATGGGGAAAGCATTTATGGGGCTGTAGAATCAGTCCTGTGGAGAACAAAGAATTCAGCATGGATTTGATGATGTACTGAAGGTTATGAAGTGTAGAGCTGGATCCTCAGCTACCGTAAATCAGCATAGCTCCTCTAACTCTAATGAAGGTGTGCTGATTGATGTCATTGGGGATCTCATCACCCCCTACAGATAAAGCCTGGGCTAATAAGGCTTCGAGCACCATGAACTCTCCCTGAAGTCACTGTGTGCGAGGCGTTTAGCACTTTGCAGGATCAGGCCTGTGTTTAGAGAGGGGAGAAGGTGGAGAAAGGCTGGACGTGGGCATAGATGAACACAAGAAGGCCTTGGCAGTGCGTGTGAGAATGATGGTTGCTATCAGATTTTATTATTGCTTGTACAGGCTGAACTGTATAGCCTTCTCATAGCTAATGCAGTTGCCCCAAATTCACAGTAGTAAAAGCTTTATAGGCCTATATTCACAGTCTGCAGAGTGTGCAGGGCAGTGTTGTGTGCAGGACGGGTTGAGCTGGGCAGGAGGGACTCCAGCATCTGCCTCTCCAACGTCTTGAGCAAGCAAAGCCAGCTTGGTCAGAGAGCCAAAGGAGATGAGTATTAACACTGTGTAACGCTTGGGCATTAAGCAGTACTAAGGTGATCATCTAGTAATAAATCTCATCCAAGTGTCAGAGGGTATTTTATGGAGAAGCAACGGCCTTATTGCAAATGCAGGTGGGAACCTTAACAAGAACAGGAGTTCAGCATCAAAGAAACATAGTCTCAGGGCAGAGCCCTTCTTTTGACATCTGATCATTAACATAGAGCACATTGACACAAAGGTGACAAACTAATGAACCCCATTGTGGCACTCTGGACAGACAAGGTTCCCTCTACTCTGGTGTTGCTACCTGGCAGCTATCGGCACAAGAGCGGGGCCGGTTTGTGCTTCCAGCTGCCAGAGGTAAACACTGTAACCCTTTCCTCTGTTGCTTCTTCCTTCAACATTTCGTTTTACCTTATTAGGCTAAAGTTTCTCCCTCATAAAGCATAACATTTACATTCCTAAAACCCATTCTAAGGCCTACAAAAATATCTGCAAAAGTCTTTTTAGTTTTACTGTGTCCTTTCTGGCCTTCCTTGTATCTGCTTTAGATTTCCCCTTGGGACGGGAGGCATTTCCTCCTGTGTTTTGCACAGTGCCTGGCACCCTGGGGACCTCTGCGGAAAGGTCAGTGATTTCCCCTTGCCGGGCAGCTGGCCGGAAAGGGCCTGCGTACCTGGTGCTGTCCCGACACCGGAGTGAGAGCTGGCTGCCAAGAGTTGCTTCAGCAGCCAGCCCTCCCTGCCTGGCGGCGGGAGCATCAGCCAGGGACAGACCCCAGAGGTGGCAGGCAGGAGTGGCTGCTCAGTTGTGATTGTTGCTATTGTTTTCCTGGATGCACATCTGGGCTTTTATTTTTTGGCTGTGTCCAGTTGCATTAAGAAGTAACTGCCCACCCCCTCCACACCATCATGAAAGGAGTAATTTGGTGTAATTGAAGCCCCAGAACATTTTTTTTTTTTTTCTCGCTCTGTGCTTCATCCGTGCTCCAAGGAAGTGCCTTACTTTGGGAAGGTGCTTCAGGTTAAGAAAATTGGCAACCTCCTCCTGTTGTGGCTCTTCTGCAAGAGGGATCCCTATTGTGGGAGGATGGGCACGCTGTGATGGGAAGCATGGGACCCGGTTGTTCACACTGTCCTGCAGCCATGGGGCCACAGCGGTAATGGCAAAGCCAAAAGGGAAGTTTGATGCTCTGAAAAAAGACCTGCCAAACTATTCGGAAATCATTGTAATAGCCTGTCTGCTCGCCGTTTCTTCCTCTCCATGCTGCGAGCGCAGCTGTTGCTCGGGTACTGCGGCCCTGCACAGTCAGTATCTGCTCTCTGAACAGGGAAGTGGCATCCAGTGGAAAAGAGCACGCTGCTGCTGCTGTGGTGAAATGTTTCCACTCCCCGCATGGCATGGCGGTAGCTGGGCAGCCTTGTGCCTGGCAGGGTTTATTTTGTGATCCCAGGAGTGACCTGAACGGTTTGCAATAGGTGTGCAATAAGGGGTGGCTGTCCCCTGGCTCGCACAGTCACGTAGCTGAGCTGCCCACTCCTTCCTAATTGCCATGTCGCTGTTCTGTCTGCACCGCTTGCTTGGAAAATCCAAGTCAGAAGCCTCATCTGTTTGTGAATCACTGCATTTATAACCACCTTTTCCATGTGGGCCTCCCTCCCGCTGCTAGGTTTCTCTTTGGACCATTAAAAGCACCCTCCCGAGATTGGCTCCTGACCCTGCCATCCCCGGCCACACTCGGCTGACTCTGGCAGAGGATTAGGCTGGGCAGAGCTGCCGTTGAGTGCCGGGACGTTGCTGTACACTCACGGCAGAAGCACGCTCCCTCTAGACTGCAGCGGACAGGCTCGTGCTCCCTCTGCAAGCAGAAGATCTTTCAGCTGAGTCATGACATCTGCACCAGAGGAACATTATTTAAAAAAAGAAAAAAGCCCGACTGATAATCAGACCATGCCAGCGGGGTTTTTTGTAGCCCTTTCCAATAACGCACTGCAACTGGGTTGCAATCGGCGGGATCCCTGCTTGGGGAGGATTTTTTGGGGGGGCTGCTGCGGTGGCTCGTAGCCCCCTCTGGTGGCACATGCCAAATGCTGGCAAAGGTCTCTGGAGACAGGGGCCCGGGACTTCAAAAACAGGCAGGCGCTGGCAAATTGGAGACTGCCCATAGCTGCAGTCAGGCTCTTCTTCCTGACTTTGGCTCCCCATGTCAAGCCCTGGGGGTTTGCAGAAATGGGAACTGGGGCCACTGTAATGAGGAAATTTATGCGGTTGTCACTGTGACCTCGTAAGTGTCACGATGGTGCCAAGAGCTTTGAACCAAGTTCAGCATCCTGGTGTGTGCTGGATACCAGGCAGGCATGGCAGGAGATGCCCCTGCTCCCAGCCTGAAGGGTAGAGGGGACCAAGGTTTGGCAAGGGAAGATGCCACACTGCCAGCACCCGTCTCGCAGAGCACTGCCTGCCAGGGGACACTGGCAGTAACATGCTGGTGTTCCTGGGCCACAGTACAAAGGGTGAAGCACGCGGGCTTGCCTAGCCAGTGAAGGCCTCTTATGGCAGCATGGCCATCTCCTGTGCTTCCAGGAAGCTGGGCACTAGAACAAAAAAACTCTGCATCCTTCCTAGAGAGCAGCAGAGACACTGGCCCAAGTCCCTTGCTCAGGCGGCGGGGGGAGCTGCAGCCAGCCCCAGTGCGCGTGGACAGGCATAGCTGCTGGCTGCAGCATTCAGCCTGGCTCTCTTGACCATCTCCTTCAAACAAGAGCGTAATATTGCAAGAAGCTGTCCTTCCATCAGTGAAGGTTAAGAGTAGACAAGGCAGCAATTATGGACAGCTAATTAGCAAATGCTTTGGAAAGTATGCATAATTAGCTTATTAGTAAACATTTTAGAAACAATGCAGTTCATCTGGAGATTGGGAAAATGCTTAGAAAAGAGAAATACATTTGGCGCACTGCAGAATGCCGGGGCTTGGGGGGCTTCTTCTCTGGGATGCAAGGGGAAGTGACTGCATCTCCTGCGACAGTGTGGGAGTCAAGCCTTAACTTTACAGAGAGGGGAAGTCAAAGATGAGATGTTAAGGAAGGCATTTGCTTGCTCATATATTTGTGGCATGGGTAGCCAGAAGCAACATTTCATACGTACAGGAAATAATTCAGTCTGGGTAACATGACACTGCAGCTCAACTTGTCTTCAAATGAGCTTCTACTGTTTTTTAACTCTGTCCAGCATCCGCTGTATGGTTCACAATTCCCCTCAAGCCCAGATCATTTTCCAAAATGAAACATCAATGAATGGGTTAGCTGTGACAGCATTAGACCAGGACATGAGTTAACAGCTCAAGGTTGTTCACATCTCTCTTCTCTGCTGCCCATCCACAGAGCTGTGAAAGCTCAGCTCTGCCGTTGTGCTTCCCCACACCCCATAGCCTCTCCCTGGGGGAACAGGCCAAGTCCAGGCTCTGCAAAAGGTGATGGCCCCAAAGGCGCTCTCCTGGGGTTTCCTACATCCCGCCGGCTCACCAATATCCAGTGCGTAGGAGTCAGATCTGGTTTTGC